AAAGGAATGGTATATAGAAGTCTGGAGATTAAAGGTGAAATAGGGTACCCTGAGGAATAGTAAGATTGAGAATCTCTGTAATGTATTGACGGGTGGAGACTTAGACAACTATTTTAGTTTTTATTCCTTATTCATGTTTTTAGGCTTTGTCATAAAATGACAGATATAAGTTTTTTTTCTTTGAATAAAATCTTTTGAGCCGACCTTTATAGTTTGAATGTCCATTGTTTTCCCTTTAAGTCTAGTTTGAATCCCTTACACTTATAGGTTTGGCTGGTGTATTGTTGTTTCCTTGACCTCAACCGGCCAACATCTGTCTAAAATAGAAGAACCAGACGAGAGTCAACAAATCAAACGATTTTTTACATTATTATTATTATTATTATTATTATTATTATTATTATTATTATTATTTAAGATAATAGTGGTTTTTGGTAAATGAAGATCCCATATATTTGTCTGTTGAAAACAAAAACAATGTTTTGTGGACAAAAGTCTGTCGTTTCTTTAAAAAGGATTGCTGGTTTTCGTGACTGGACTAGCCATCATTGGTAGATAGTAATTATCAGAAGCCATTAAGTAAAGCAATAAAAAAGTAAAAATTTCGAAGTATATGATATGATCAAGACTTCTGGCTGATGGCTGTGAATGTTTATCTTAAAAATAACATTGATGTATTTTAGTCTGAGAGTAAGATATCTGGTAAATTGATCTGTAAACAGAACTCCTTATCTTTATACCTTGCAGCAATTTGAAATTCTTCATGACAGTTGGCTATTTTAGTCAGTTGTGTATGAATAAAGATACATATGTCTGGTAGATTGATCTGAACTCCATATCATTTTACCTTACAGCTACTTTCATTTCATATTCTTCAGCCATGCCAGCTGTGTATGACTAGAATTTATATAATGTCTGGTAGATTGAACAGTAAACAGAACTCCTTATTGTACCTTAGAGCAACTTTCATTTCATATTCTTCAGCCATGCCAGCTGTGTATGGCTAGAATTTATATAATGTCCGGTAGATTGAAAGTAAACAGAACTCCTTATCATTTTACCTTAGAGCAACTTTCATTTCATATTCTTCAGCCATGCCAGCTGTGTATGGCTAGAGTTTATATAATGTCCGGTAGATTGAAAGTAAACAGAACTCCTTATCATTTTACCTTAGAGCAACTTTCATTTCATATTCTTCAGCCATGCCAGCTGTGTATGGCTAGAGTTTATATAATGTCTGGTAGATTGAAAGTAAACAGAACTCCTTATCATTTTACCTTAGAGCAACTTTCATTTCATATTCTTTAGCAATGCCAGCTGTGTATGACTAGAGTTTATATAATGTCTGGTAGATTGAACAGTAAACAGAACTCCTTATTGTACCTTAGAGCAACTTTCATTTCATATTCTTCAGCCATGCCAGCTGTGTATGGCTAGAGTTTATATAATGTCTGGTAGATTGAAAGTAAACAGAACTCCTTATCATTTTACCTTAGAGCAACTTTCATTTCATATTCTTTAGCCATGCCAGCTGTGTATGGCTAGAGTTTATATAATGTCTGGTAGATTGAAAGTAAACAGAACTCCTTATCATTTTACCTTAGAGCAACTTTCATTTCATATTCTTTAGCAATGCCAGCTGTGTATGGCTAGAGTTTATATAATGTCTGGTAGATTGAACAGTAAACAGAACTCCTTATTGCACCTTAGAGCAACTTTCATTTCATATTCTTCAGCCATGCCAGCTGTGTATGGCTAGAGTTTATATAATGTATGGTAGATTGAAAACAGAAATCCTTATTTTACCTTACAGCAACTTTCATTTCATATTCTTCAGGACGATTAATGTTCTGCTTTAGCCTGTTGTGTATGACTAGAGTTTAAAAAAATGTCTGGTAGATTAGTATATAGAACTCATTTGTTACCTTGCAGCAACTTTCATTTGACTGTTGTTTTTCTAATTGATTAAACTCACAACAGTTGACAATAGAAAGTTTCTGATCTTGCAAAATTTCCCTCATTGCACTCTGCATTTCTCATCTTCATTATCCAAATCAGGTGTAGAAAACAGGATGATAAATTCCATTGAGTATAATGAATATGAAGCTTCAAAAACTCCTTAATTTTATGGCGTCTTCAGCTTGAAGCTATGACTACAAGAACTTTTTTAAAAGCAGAATGAAGAAGTTCTCAAGATTTTCCCTGTAGCGTATTTAATTATTGCACAAAGCTGCACGGCAAACAATTTAAGTATCATATTGGTGACTCTTCTCAACCACTCATTGCAGCTCTCGGTATTTGCTGCGGGCTATTAGAGACAGTATTATAGTTCGTTAAGAGTGAAATGAATGTCGGGGAGTTTTATCAACGATCTTTAAATATTTACTTGATTCCTGATCTTAGTAATTTCTTATTCAGAAAAACAGAAAAACTGTGGAATTTTTTGTCAGCGTTTTTCTGAGATTCGGCTGAATCAATATTGACTGATGTAAAAATTCCGGAAGAAATTTTTGAGAAAAAAAGTTGAGAAACTCTTGAAGATGTCACTATCCAATCAATGAGTCTCTTTGTAATCAGAAGTAGTAAAAAACAGTTCAAATTGTGAATCAAAATATATTATCTACACAAATTCAAAATATTACAGTGAAACAGTGGGATACATATTTAGAATGAAAACATGCCATTCATGACATTTCAGAACCTGATTGTTCAATTAAAGACCTTTGAGGGAAGAGATTCAAAATTACAATAAATAAAATACATTCCACTTGGTTCACCATTTATTGAGGTTCTATAGCACAGTTGGTAAGAGCGTTGGTTCTTTATGTGACGTCATTTGTATGGTTACGTCGATCAAATTGCGGATGTGGGTTCCGTTCTTGATTGAAGTGTGAAAGTCCGATGACTTTGAATATGTTATCTTCGCTCATAATTCCAGTCAACCGAGCTGTAAATGGGTATGATAACCCTGGAAAGATCAATGTCAAGAGGTTTGGCCAAGGACCAGCTGGTAGAAAGGATCCCTAACTGTGTTAGACTTGTAAAATGCATACAGTTGTTTCTTTCTTTTTTTCTTGGTGGGTAGGTTGTTTATCATAAAATGATAGTAATGCAGCAACTTTCATTTGATTGTTGTTTTTTTCTTATTAATTAAACACAATACAAAGCTAATAATCTTACAAAATTTCCCTCATTGCACTCTGCTTGGCATTTCTCATCTTCATTATCCAATTTGGATCCAATCAATGAGTCTCTTTGTAATCAGAAGTAGGAAAAAACATTGCAAATTGTGAATCAAAATATAAAGTAAGCTAGTGGTATATCAAAACTCGAAAATTCAGATTGATAACATGAACATATATTTTGGGATAGTGAATTAGAAAATATAAAAAAATCTTTCAGGGATGCCAGTTAGAAACTGACTGATACAAAAACTATTTCACCTTATATTCTTCTTCTTATTCTGAAAACTATCCAAACTTAACTAAGCTAATCGGCACTTATAAAAATAAGATCTTTGACAGGTTCAAATTTGGGTCTAAAATGACAAATATTTTCTGGATTACAGCCCTTGATATACCAAAGTATATTAAAAGTTTGGGTATGTTCTTGGAAACTGCTTGCTAATCAAATTTCATACAACTCAGTGCTTTTGTGGTTTATCAGAAAATGAAAGTTTGTTGTTTTACCAACTTCATTCGAATTGGGAATACGTAAGTGGCTAACGTAGCTGCTGTAGACTCTATTTGTCATTTTGTATATTTGATTTTGGTACTTTCTATTTTTCAGGTAAGCCATTTAAATTAATCAAACAGTTCAAGAGCAAAAATTCATCCTCAGGTACTGTAGAAACTTCAAATTTAAAAACTTAAAAAACATAGAATATAATAGTTCACTGCAAAACACATAACATAGCAATAGAGTATACATTTTATTTCTATTTACACTATGGAATATACCAACTGATTCAGATGATATCTGCACTTTCAGTACTACAAAATCAAACAACATATAGTAATATTACACTTTATTAAAACAATGTAGGCCTGCTAGTTACTAGTTGAGATGAGGTCTTAATGGTGATGTCGAAAAATTTCAATTATCAGTAATTTCATTCATCAAACTCTTGTAAACAATGGTAACTAAGAAACTGTACTATATACACAGGCATAATGGTGCCTGAATGGCTTTTATCCAAGATGGCTGCTGCCCACCATATTGGATAAAAGCCATTCAGGCACCATTATGCACAACAAGAAAAGACTATATAGGGTAATATTATGTTTAGAAAAGGTTTCAATATCAATGTTAATTTTTGGTGAAGCAGTCAGTTAGGATGGAGCTTCATGACACTGTATTTCAGTATTAGAAAATCATATTACACTTTATTCACAAAATAAAATCTGTAACAGTTGAGTCTTCAATACCTCAAAACGACAAGATAGAAATAAAGCACTTGGTAGCAGCACCAGACAATTCAAAATGATGGATAACATCATCTATTTAGTTCCCGTCCTCCTGTTAAAAGCAATAGTTTGTGGTTTAAAATCAGATTTCAATAACATGTTTCAAATATCATTTTCTTCATTATATTCTTTGGTCAAACTGGCAAACAATTTATAAAAAAAGTAATTTGTAATTGAAAGAAAAGTAATTGGAAACTAAGGTAGCTGACAGCTCAGTTCAACAACAAGATCAAATCTTCTCAGATATCACCTTTTGTTTTTATTATAACAAACTGAACACCATCTTGTATTGTTGCAATAGTGGAGTCTAAAACTTACTTCAGTATCTTTAGTCCGAAGCATCTTCCATTATTCCAGCCATTGATAGATATTTTGACAGAGTTTAGTCAGAAAAACTAAGCCCTGTTTTATGGGGATTTTCCACAAATCCAAAGTTTTTCTGTCTCTACACAAGTGGACAACTTTCAAAATAGCTATCACATTTGGAAAAGATGCAGATGATTTTTGGACTAGAGTATCTTCTGAATTGAAACTATGGATAAATGTTGCAGATTTCAACCAGTAAGTCACAAAACCAAGAATGCTTTTAGGAGAATTTTGTGCACCAATCAATGGATCACAAGTTAGATAATTCTTTGACTATGTAATATGGTAAAAAATTTGAAGGGTGGGGGAGGGGTCACAGCCAGGTCCGCCTATCTTCTGTCCCTAAGATCAATGAAAAATAATTTATGTGTATGGATTTCTAATACTTTCATCAACAAACATATTTTCTCTGACTCTAGAAAACTGACATTCATCGCTAAAACTTAGAGAGGCCAGAAGAAGTTGTGAGTTTCAGACTATCAATAGTTTTACAATCATCTCTGTCAGTAAGATTAATCTAAGAATCTTTATTTATATAATTTGTAAAGGAGAAGATACTTGGTGTAATTTAACCCTGTAACCTCAATCATAGAAAAACAACAGTAATCTAGCATTAAGTAACAGTCAATCAGTTTAAATGTTTTAACACAACTAAGATTGGTGATTGTAGATAATTTGGGCTTATAAACTGAACAATGAATGATGTGTTCTCTGATGATAGAATGAGATATTAATATACAACATACTGAGGTATACCTACTAAATATCGCCGATATAATAAAGTGTTTGATAAAATCAGTGTCAAAACCAGATATTGGTAAATACTGTTTGATTGAAATGAAATGGAGTTATATGTCCTGCACGTCAGCACCTGATTGAGCTAATTAGGACAAGCAATGCAATACAGTGTGCAATGTGAGACATTGTGCCAGAATAGCTGCATTAGCCTATGCTCTTTTTTAACATGCACTACCTGTAGCCAAGGCCTTTTTTCCATGTCAGCGTCTCTAACCTGCATCACTGACACAGGGGAAACTGGGTTGAAAATCCGCAAGTATAATCATGCCGTATTCTGTGCTGTATATTGAATCCTATACATAGATAACTGTACTCTCTCTGTGCCAGTGCCTTCTGTTGGATAGTAACTTGTTACCTTTCAACCACCCTAATCTCTATCATTAGGATATGCAAATACAGTTAGACAACCATATCCCTTTGAAAATACTGAAATACTTCACTTATGATTGATATACTTCCTCTTGTGAAAAAGTTCATTAGCTGCTACCATTGTTTCGCCAAAATGTTGTTTTGGATTTCAGGTTTCATTTTAAAGTTTGGTCCTTGGTTTACGTCAATGAAATTGATGGAATATGTCACTAAGATGATTGAACCATGAGTTATTTATAGACATTAACAAGATATTAATATACACAACTCACTCGGAGGCCGTCTGCTTACCTAATCAACTTTCTATTTTAATCATCTCCCCCTGAATTACACATAAATTTATGACATAATAGATTAAATGCTGTTGATAGATTTTGTGTGATCAAAAGTTATAAGCCAGCATAGAGGGTGTAATGTACGAATTTTAAAATTTATGACATAATAGGTTATAGGTTGTTCACGGATTATTTTTTTTTTTAGATCAGAAGTTTTATAAGCCAACTTAGAGGATGTAATGTACAGATAGAAATACATGACATATTGGTTGAAAGATTAATTATATTTATAAGTATCAAAATGAAGTAAATACCATCTTGAAAAAAAGGACATTAAAAAAGATTTGACAGCTAGTTTGGAAATGGAGATTAACTTTTTTAACCTTTACACTATTTGTCTCATTCACTAGAGACATGTTTCAGATACCCAAACCTCATCAGGACAGCTGGTTTTGGAAACTTGAGGTCAATTTCATGAGAGGACTTTTAGCCTATGAAGAAGGTAGCATTGTATTTACAAATTCAGATCAGACGTTAGTACGTGCTGTACTGAAAGTTATATTCTGTTTTTAATCTATACATCTCCAGTTTCACGGATGTCTGAAATCTATGCTACCAATTAAAATGTTTTGATTGGAGGAAACATAATGGAGTAGGTTAATAATTCCACTATCTGATCCTGTGAACTTTAGAAGGTAGATAAATTTCTGATTAAAAGAAAAAATTCTTAGATCCAGGTTTTATAGGAGATTAGGGTGGGATTGGTTTCTGTTATATTGATTTGGTATTAGGGGTTGAGAGCCAACACTGGGCCTACTCTCGAAAGCATTGGCACAGGTTGATTAAGTTGGATTGTCTGTTATTTGATTTAGATAATATTAATGAATACATGAAAAAAAAAAACATTTATCAATAACAAAAACTACAAAATATGGATATACATAGTACATAGCTTAATGCATTACCAGCTATAATATGTTCCTTCTCAATTAATAAATACAACATCTACTAGAAAAATATGAAACTAAGCTAAGATGGAAGATTTTATTCCATAACGCCCATTGTGGGCAGCATACAATTATAAACAGTACAATTATGCTATGATGGATTTCAAAATGAATGTTAATACTTTGTTTCATTGATATCAGATTACTCTACTGCAGGCTGTAGCATTCTTAAACTCTAAAGAATTCTAAGAACTAGAGTTACCTCTCTTTAAGTATTTAAAGATTGTAATTCTGTACACTGTATGGAGAAATCAAGCCTTTAATTTTTATATCACACTGCACCTAATTAGCCTAATGAATAGGGGCAATGTCATGCAATAGAACCAGAAGATTCTCTATATAATTCAGACTGGATAATATTCTTTGATTTCCAAAAATCTCTTGGTTCCAGGTGTTTTTCAGTCCATTCCTGTTTTCTATTAAACCATAAAGGAATATCATCAATATAAATATGTATGAAATATGCTGAGTTTCTCAATGAACTCTCCCCTTCCTGTTTACCATACATCTTCAGGTGTGGATGGTTCATTAAAGGTAGAATTCTAGATAGCTTAATCATTAGTGAGTTGGGTTGTTGTTTTCTAGGCATGTAAGTGCAGTGGGTTTAGCCGCCTCCAGAAAAAATTCTGAACCATAGTCGGTGCATTTAAGTGCCTCTGGACTGTCATCCTTGAAGCCAGTAGATAAGATAGATAAGTCAGTCATTTGTAAGCTGGGTTGTGGTTTGCTAGGCATGTATGTCCTGTGGTTTTAAAGTCAAATTATCATGTTTTTAAGAGACTGCCCTGTGCTGGAACGTCATCCTTGAGGTTCTATAAGTCCTTCCAAAGAAGGAAATATAAAATGGGGAATGTTTTTAAGTGTCTTTCTTTTATTTCTACCCTTTTGTTCTAATAAACTTTATTTAAATATACCTAGAGTCACAAATGCCAGGCCTATGAATTTCTCAACTGCCTAAACCATGTGACCATGTTCCTATCTTGACACAGTCCAAGGAAGGGGGCCAATAATTCAATTTTTTGTGGAAATATGCAATAAGTTTTTGCAAAAATATACTAAACAGGATTAAAGCCCTTTATCTGAAAAGTTTTTTCCCTGACCCCCTCTAAATTTATGAAAAAATTGTGGTGGTCCCCCCCCCCCCCGATCCAAAGTTATGCAGCCATCTCCAAGCAGAAGTTTCACTGTGGGCAGTTTGTGGACTGTCTTTCCAGGTGAAAGAGTAATAAAGGTACATGATATCCTTGATAATATGAAAACAGGAATTCTGGATATCTGATATGATGGACACATGTAGATACTAAATACACATGATACACAGGTTTACCAATCCCTTGTTACATCAGAAACTTACTAAAGAGCATGAAATTGACATTTTATCTATGGTACAGTTCTGAACATTTTGTGCAATATGTATCAGGAATATTTTTAAAGGAAGAAGGTGAATTTTGACACTGTTACAAGAATAACATTTCTAGCTGTGATTGATAATATAATAAAATATCTCTAGTGATAATGATACCTACAATACATCTGGTTTATTCCTGCCACAATCATATTGTTTAAAGCTGCATTCCCCAGGCTTTGATATATAATTTTTCAGGTAGTGCCTTGGCTTATTCATATAACATTCTTTTACCATGATTTTTGCCCAGGGCAAGAGTTTCCTGATGTACCATGGCAGCATATCAGTGTAACACACAACCTTGCTGGCAGAATCGTATCGTTAAAAGTTTTGAAACATGATCAGCATAAAACTGTGGATATTGGTACTTTTATGACCTTGGGCCCTGACATACCATAGTATCATATCAGTGTAAGACACAATCATTGCTGGTTGAGAGGAACTGTTAAAAATTGCATTCCTCAGGAGTTAATATATACTAATTCCAAACTGTTGAGAATATCTATGTATTTAGAGTAGTGTTTTTTTCTCATATCATGACATTATATTGATATCTACCCAATAGGTTTTATTATGAGTAAATGTATTCATGAAAATATCATAACATTGATCAACATAGCACAGAACATACAAAGACAACAATAAGAAATTTAGAAATACCTTGGACTTCTTAAATACAACTATCTCTGCACCCCAGATCAGCTAAGTTTATGAACACTATGCCAGTGTTGGTATGCTATTGATATCTGCTTCAACTATTTGATATTCAACTATTTAATATTCAACTATTTGATATTCAACTATTTAATATTCAACTATTTGATATTCAACTATTTAATATTCAACTATTTGATATTCAACTATTTAATATTCAACTATTTTATATATTTAACTATTTAATATCCAACTATTAAATATTCAACTATTTAGCATTCAACTATTTAATATTCAACTATTTAATATTCAACTATTTGATATTCAACTATTTAATATTCAACTATTTGATATTCAACTATTTAATATTCAACTATTTGATATTCAACTAATTAATATTCAACTATTTGATATTCAACTATTTGTTATTCAACCAATTAATATTCAACTATTTAATATTCAACTATTTAATATTCAACTATTTAATATCCAACTATTAAATATTCAACTATTAAGCATTCAACTATTTAATATTCAACTATTTAATATTCAACTATTTAATATTCAACTATTTAATATTCAACTATTTAATATTCAACTATTTGATATTCAACTATTTAATATTCAACTATTTGATATTCAACTATTTAATATTCAACTATTTGATATTCAACTATTTAATATTCAACTATTTTATATATTTAACTATTTAATATCCAACTATTAAATATTCAACTATTTAGCATTCAACTATTTAATATTCAACTATTTAATATTCAACAATTTAATATTTAATATTCAACTATTTGATATTCAACTATTTAATATTTAACTATTTAATATTCAACAACTATTTGATATTTAACAATTTAATATTTAATATTCAACTATTTGATATTCAACTATTTGATATTCAACCAATTAATATTCAACTATTTAATATTCAACTATTTAATATTCAACTATTTAATATTCAACTATTTAAAATTCAACTATTTAATATTCAAGACAAGTTGGAATTTTTGACCATTCTTTGGTATTGAGAAGCCATTCTTAATGTTAGTTAAATCCCAGAATATGCCCAGACAAGGTAAATTTGTGGAGCATATTTTGGTTCTAAGGCACCACCAGTGTAGGTATGGGTCTGATATCCTCTTCAACTATTTAGTATACAAAGACAAGTAGGAATTCTGGAATGTACAAAGGTAACTATCTATGTACCCCAGACAAGCTAGTTTTGTAGACCATTTTTTGGTAGTAAGGTAGTATCAGTGTAGGTATGGTATTGATATATTATGATAATACAGCAGGGGGTCAGTGATATACTATATGACTGTTTGTTTACATTATATACCTTATTACATCTGATCTCAATGAACCAATAGATAAAACATACAGGGTAAAGGCTCCCCTAGTTGGTTCTTGCAGAAATCTTCTTTTTTTCGGGAATATAAGACAATCTTTTGATTCAAGTCTTTCTTTTAAATTGATCCCCCAAACATTGTAATTATTTATTGTAGATGAGTTTAAATGTGTCAAAAATTAACAATACAGATATTAAAATTCTTTTCAAAAGTTTCACTTCAAGTCTCCAGTATGAGTTCTCAAAATACTTTTCAGAACCAAATTTTTAATCTTTTAATGACATCAAAAAGTACAAAGTAGACTCGATAATAAAATAACAAACTTTCATAGTTAAATAAATTTTTATTTTTGCCGCTACTTTTCTGCTCCTGATTGGGCTAGTTAAGAATGAAATTATGACAGTGTGCTTGTCCTGGTCTTAAATATTAAGCAGTTCAAATTTCAAATCAGAAGATAGAGTTTTGTCCCTTTAATTATCAAGTCTCTGAATAAACTGAAGAAACTGAAAATCTATAGAGCTTTCTTTCGTGCTTAATTGAATTTGGGGATTCAATTCTTTTTCAAGTCTAGAAAGTAAGTTTGATATTGTGATCCCTGTCCTAGCTCTGATGGTAAATATACCTTGACGATCTGAAATCGATAAAGATAAGGTTACTGACACTGTATTGAGCAGCCAAGGACAACATACCCATCAGTTTACTACTCACCTCAATCTGTGGCATTAAAATATCTTGAGTCCTTCGGCGATAAGGTGCCATGGGTTTGAATCTTTGAAAAGAAATCTGATGCCACTGCCAGTGCTTCTGAGGCTCAGCCTAGTGTCAGCTCTCACTCCCAATCACCTAAAACACTTAGTGTGCCTTTACTCCCAGAAAGTGTCAGACTAAAGACTGGACTATTATCAAACATGGTGGCCAGGTGTGTGTTTAAAATATCACACATAGTTTCACATTGTTTTAAATATCTACCTGGTTCTAGTTGATAAGATAGATACCTGGGGGGCAGGTGCTCTCATATACCACACTTTACCTCAATATTGGCCCTGATATTTCATTTAATACCTTTAATTCAGTGCTTTCTCATATACCATGCTTTTATATTGATAATGGCCCTGTGGGCAACTGCTTTCTTATATACCACAATGATATACCACGTTTTTCACTCAATATTACCCTGATACCGGTTGAAGGATAGTTTTATCATTGTTTTGTTTGGATTACCTTACTATTGGCATAACATTAGAGAAAAACTTCATTGTGGGAATAGAAGTTTTATTACAGAAGAAGAAATTATTGTGTTTAAAATTTGAATTCATTATTTTTGTGAAATTCAATGTCTTGTACTTTTATAATGTTCGTGGAAATTGGGATTTTGTGAATTGATCAGTTTTTGATATGGTGGCCTGCTAGATCAAGAAAAGAAGAAAGTAAAACTGCGAAAATTTGCTCTGAATGTGTTTCAATCTGATTTGAAAAAAAGCAATGTTTAATCTCGGTAAGAAAGAATTTATTTCACAAAAGAAACATGGAAATTAATTTTTTAACTCATAAAACTTGTAATGGGTGATTTTGAATTAGAAATAGAGTTTTCTGATGTAAATGTGTAATTTTAAGATATAAAAATATTGAATTTGAGTTGAAAAGTTGAGATTTATGTTCTAAAAGTCAGGAGTCAAATTTCTTCTCAATGAATTGAAAACATTAATCTATTTTCTTGGAAATATTTCATTCGACAATCTCATTTTCCACCAAAAATCATCAACTCGTTCAACTTATTTCCTTGAAACTAAAAAAAAATGTATATGAGAATGAATGAGGGAATATTTTTTGTATTAAAAATGCTAAAAAAGTAATTAAAAGTTCTGGTTGATACAGAAGTAATTATTTTTTTAAAGTTGAAAATAAAAACTATAATAAAATAGATTGTTCTGGTACTATATAATAAGATTTCTACCTGATACTTGACTTTATGTATTTATTTTTAACATTGGAATTCTAATGTGAAAGGTGAAATGGAATTGTTGAAAATTTTGACCAATTTTTGATTTAAAATCCAGATTATTTTGGAATATTGTTAGATTTTGAAATGGAGAAAGACCCAGGTTTGGAATTACAATAGTTTTAATGGTATAATATCGTTAATTTTCTATTTATTGGTTATTGTTTTGTGTCTAGTTATGAAAATGGAATATAAGTTTTAACTTGAGATATAACTTTCTGAATTAGCAAACTCAAGTTCATTCTAATTAAATTCGAATTTGTTTAATTTCAACCTGAATTCAAAAACTTTTTTTTAAGAAAAATTTCCAGGTTTACCTGAGTTTTAATTTGGTTTTTCTCTGTTACATGCCGACAGGAAATGTCTACCTGAGGTAATTTCTTCAGACACTTAACATTTAAATAATTTTTGTGGGAGTTTATATTAATGAGTTTTTAACAAATGGTTTTAGAATTAAAGGTTAATATTACCAGTTGATATCAGACTGCTCATTTTAAAGTAAAGATACTTGGTTCATGGTCAATTCAAATCATCACAAAAACAGTCAACTTTATTTTGAAGAAGGATTAGAGATATAAGTCTGGTTGGTAAAATTTCAATTAATATTTATTCTTCTTCAAAATAAAATGGACTGTCTGTTTTCATGATATGAATTGTCGCTGGATGTGTACAATATAGTTAATGCATTGCGCTAAGATCCATAAGCTTAGTGGTGATTGTACAGGTAAATCTAGGTGTAGTGCAGGTAGAGGGTGCTTACTCTTTCTATAAACACCTGTCCTCGTCATTCATTTGCATCTTGATAGATCCAGAATAGCTCTTAGACATAGTTAAATGTCTACATCACGGATTTTAACAACTTGACAACGTTTAGTTTTGGATATGGATAAGGAAACATTTGTCTTGTGATAATATCTTACCTGTGAAAAGGATTCTATAAACTGTCTTCAGACATTTTGAAGATGGATTTGACAATGAAAGGAAGTGTAGGTGGGGATGCTGGGAAAATGTCAATGTTTCAAAAAGCTGCGTATATCGCCAAGTTTAAATCACGGATAAAATTAGCAGTCAGACAAAATAAAGAAGAAAAAGAGGTAAGATTCATCAGATTTCTCCTAAATTTCTTATTGGTCAGGTTTTCTTTAGAAGCAGTCTTATTTGAGATTTTGGTGTTTCCTTATCATCTTTGTCAACAGTCATATTTTTTCATCCATTTGTTCATAAAGTCATACATTTGATTATTCATTGAATTAATTAATGTAATCATTTGTAAGTTCATACATTAGTTCATCTAGTTATTCATTAGTTTCTTTATTAGTTCATTTCTTTATTCATTCATTAGTTCATTCACATATTCATTCATATATGCATTCATTCATTAA